ATACGAGTTTTTTTTTTTTTTTCAGTAAAACTAAAGATATAATGATAGATTTATAGAACCGAAAAATCTGAAGATGTGAATTCACGTTAATGCCCTCAAACTACCCTAGGAACCTACAAGACCACGAGGGCAACCCTGGTAGACAAAGGTAACTGCCTAAGTTGATAGCAGGAGTGTTCGAGAATGGAGTGAAGCTATTTAACCTAAATTTGTTTAGTCTTATAGATCCCGTTTAATAATTATTTAATTTTTTAAAACAAAAATTTTAAGTAGACAACCATACTAAAAAAAAACTCATAGATGAAAGTAGCTTTAATAAATTTAATATTAAAAAATAAAAAATTAAATAGTTATCAAACCGGACCTAATTTGTTAAGACTTTATAATATAATTATACCGTTTTTTGGTTCAAGAACGTGTAGATATAGAGATTTGAACTTCTGATCTTTTAGTCGAAGAATTATGTTCATATTCTATTGAACGTTGTTGTCGTATCAGATGATTGAACCTCTGACATCAAGTGAGATAGTGCTGTCATGTACGATCGAGATCGGCTCGCTTTCAAAACCCTAATGTATAACTCACAAAAGTTTGACAAGAAACCCATTAATGCATAAATATTCGTTTTGAAAGTGATAAATGCACAACAAAGAGATGAAATTACCATTTTGGTATTTTTTTTAAATTAAAGAAAATCAAATTTTAGAATAAATCAAATTTTCGATTTGGTCCTTGAATTCTTAGTTATTTACATAATTTACGTAAATTTACGATAATTGTCAAACAGGATTTTTTGCTAAATAGGGTTTCAAATTTTTAATTTTGTATTTAAAATATCTCTAATAAATTTAAAATTTATAAAAATTTATATTTAAGAGAACCATAAATTTTTATATTGTAAGGTAGACCTATAAATTAAAAAAAAAAATTAAAATTTAGGGACTAATTTGTAATTTTAAAAATTCATTGATCAAATTGACACAAGTATATTTACGTTAAGCATTTTGTTGTTTTGTTCTTTTTATGTCCCGTCAATTATTTACAAAATGCTAAAAACATCGATTTATTCACAAACAAATAAAAATATTGATGGAAATTTTTACACGTCGATTACTTAGTACCAGGTATCGTGCATGCATGACACAGTCGAATTATCATAGCAAAAAAGCACATCGATTGAGACAAGTAGATTGAGACAATAGGAGAATAATTTTCTCGATGGTAGAAAGCAAGAAGGGTAGGGTACCCTAAGAGGAGATATAAATAGAGCATTGCCCTTCAAGAACTTCTTCAAAAGAGAATTAGGTCACCTCCCAGCTCGGTTTCGACACGCCATGCCGAGAAATCGTGACCCTCTAGTCGTCGGGAGAGTGATCGGCGACGTCGTCGACTCGTTCTCGAGGTCCATCTCGATTAGGGTTGTTTACAACTCGAGGGAAGTTAACAATGGGTGTGAGCTCAAACCCTCTCAAGCTGTCAACAAGCCAAGAGTTGAGATTGGTGGCACTGACCTTCGCACCTTCTTCACTTTGGTAGAAGCTTTGTTTTACTTTTTTTCTTTCCTTTTTCTTCTTCTTTTTTACCTCTCATTTCTTTTCGTTAGGTTATGGTGGATCCCGACGCTCCTAGCCCTAGCGATCCCAATCTAAGAGAATACTTGCATTGGTACGTCCTCTCGTTCTCGTTCTTTTCCACTGTAAACCTATATTTTATACCTACAGTAAGGACAGTCTACCCTAATCTCAAAAATCGAGTATTACGTTTCTATTGTCGTGTCAACGTTTTATCAACATGGTTACATGTTCATGACTTCTGGGTATCAAAGCTTCTATCTAATCATACAAAACTGGACCATGTTTTTTTTTAGAAATATCGAAAAAATAGTTAGAAAATTGTGGTCAAAACTACTTTACGTGTCTTGGAATGAAAATGTACTAAAAGCATAAAACACTGAACAAAAGTTGGTCGGGTTAGCTCGAGAATTGACTCTTAGCTTTACGAGTAATAATTCTTTATATTTATTAAAGTGAAAAAAAAATTATTTTAAGGATTAGAAAATGATTATGAATTTGATGGCTATGTTGTAGAAAAAGGTGTACGGATCATAAAAGACAAACTTTTAAAAAAATAAAAATAAAAAAATAAATAGAAAAGAAATGGACTTTCACTGTTAGGACAGAAAAGGAATAAAGCTGAAAACTGGTCTGATTGATGGATCGAACTCAGTCCGTAAATGAAAGAATTTTTGTATAGTTATTATTTTTTTAAATTTATTTTTAATTGTCTTTTTTATAATAATAATAATAATAATAATAATTATTATTATTATTATTATTGTTATGTCGATTTAGTTTTAATTTGGTTTTTATAGTTTTAAATATTTTTAATTTAGTCAAATATCGAGTGGACAAAATTACGTTTGCGAGTTATTCGTGCAATTTCAATAAATTGTAGGGATCAAATTGAAATTTTTTTGAATTATAAGGATGAAATTGAAATTAAGCTTAATTTGTCGGGATCCATTTAAAAAAAATTCAACATTTTTCTTAATCTTGTACTCGAATTAAGCTTGTTTTTTCAACATGAACTAGTGGATGAGATGGGCAAATTTTGTTTTTTCAACATGAACCAGTCAATGAGATGGGTGAACCCTCGTCCTCGACCCTTCTTCTTCAATATGAACTAGTTGACAAGATGGGCATACCTTGCTTTTTCCACACGAACCGGTCAATGAGATGGGTGGACCCTCCTCCTCTCGACCCTTTTTCTTCTTCAGCATGAACTAGTCAAGAAAATGGGCAAACTCTACTTTTTCAACACGAGTCAATCAATGAGATGGGTAGACCCTCTCTACCCTCCTCCTCCTCCTCTTACTCGACCTTTCTTCTTCTTCAACATGAACTAGTCGAGAAAATGGGCAAACCCTATTTTTTCAACACAAGTCAATCGATGAGATGGGTAGACCCTCCCGACCCTCCTCCTCCTCCTACTCGACCTTTCTTCTTCTTCAACATGCACTAGTCGAGAAAATGGGCAAATCCTACTTTTTCAACACGAACGAGTTGATGAGATGGGTGGACCCTCCTCCTCCTCCTCACTTTTTGCTACATAAATATACCACATATTAGACTCGACCTTTTCTAACCTCGATCATTCTCTTTAATTCTCTTTCATATTTTGGTTCATTTGACAGGTTAGTGACCGATATTCCAGCTACAACCGAGGCAACCTTTGGTACGTTGTTCTTTTAGTTAACACATAAACAAAATTCCTAAAAAAACCCGACACGAAAAACAAATCATTGTAGAGCGGGAAATCAAACCCTAGCAATGTTAATAAAAAACCAACAAACTTAAACCAATTGAACTATGTTGAGGTTGACGGGTCGACCCGTGAATGGTAGGACAAGAGATAGTGTGCTACGAGAATCCAAGACCAACGGTGGGTATCCACCGTTTTGTGCTGGTCTTGTTCCGGCAGCTCGGAAGGCAAACGGTGTATGCTCCTGGGTGGCGCCAGAACTTCAACACCAGACACTTTGCAGAGCTTTACAATCTTGGTTCGCCAGTCGCCGCCGTCTATTTCAATTGCCAAAGGGAAAATGGCTCCGGTGGAAGGAGAAGAGCCGGCGATGAATGTTCATAAAAACACTTCACTTCACATTATATTATCAACCAATATATTGTAATAACATGGTTCACGTTTCTATCTAATAGATTATATATTTTTAATAAGTTCGTGAATTTTCAATTTTGTGTCCTAATAATGTCGAGTAATCTAACGTTTTCTATTTAGGGTCCAATTAGTTTGTTCGTTTAAAACATGTTGAATAAGTTAAGAGGAACGTTTCAGATGTTTACAGTTGATTTAATTTGATCATACTCGTTCGACTCGATAAGTTGAAATTGAAGGAAAATTTAGGCTTAAAAAGACGGGTTTTCGGAGAGTAAAGTTTTCTTAGAACCCTCGACCACCCACTTATCTGTCTCTCACTCTCACTTGCTCGATTTTTTCAAGTGTCGTCTCCCTCCTCCTCTCCTATTGTTTCTATCAATACTATAGTTGTTTGAGTACAAAGTATTTGTTAGGATACATGTCTCACGTACTTTAGTGCATGCCAAGTAATACCCTAAAAGGCCTCAAGTAAATTCCAAAATGAAGTTTACCGCTCCCCGTAAATATATGAAGTTATTTTGTATGTAATTACAGTAAAACAGACTTTTGACTCAACAATAATTATGACGCAACTGGTGAAAGATTGATATACATGGACACAACTTGTTCTACAGAGCATAAGAGTTCAACTATAAGTTTATCTTGAAGTGACCGATAGTTAATGAATGAAAATTGATTAATTTTAGTTTTGTTTAATTTTAAATAAAATTATAGTGGTTCTAATGCTTCCACTGAGTAAATGAAACGTTCATTTCCGCTCATGTTTTCGGTTGTAATATCTCTCTTTTGTGCTACCCTCTCCCTCATAGTTTCTTGCCGGGTTTTTCTCTCTCCACCTCTCTCGATGCGTTACAGCTTTTGTCGTTGCTATGGCTTTCGTGTAAAACAATTCACAATCAGTTTTTCTCCCGATTTTTTATTAGTTTTCCATCACCCATGATCTCCTTTTGCTCGATTTTGATCCATCCACACTATTTTGTGTTAGACTTAAAAATTGACGGGTTTTTAGCATGCATTTAGATTATATTATTATTGTTTATAACATTCAGATTTATATCTAGTTGGTCCCTTAACTTTCAAAATTATAAATTTAGTTCATATATTTTCAAAATTATATTAGAGTTACCTCGAATATAGAATTAAAATTTATATTTAGCATATCTATAAAAAAAAAAAACAATTTATTGAAATTTTAAATTTTAGAAACTAAATAAATAAAAAAAATATATATTATCTATATATATATATATATATATAGCCCTTGAATTTGGGCCCTTAAAAGAGGCTTAAAACCCTAATAAGGTCAGTTCGTAGAACCGAAACAAAAGGTCCCTGAGAGGGCCCGATCCGCGGGCTGAGAGAGAGGGCGAAAGCAAGTAGAACGTTCGAGATCAGCCTGGTTGAATCTCGTGCGAGGCCTTGTGGCTGCTCCCACTGCAATTTATACGAACAACAGAGCCAAAAACCTGCTGCTTCCCCCGTAATTCAAAATCTTCGGGAAGCTTCCTTCGAACCAGAGGAAGAGAGAGGGAGAGAGAGAGAGAGAGAGAGAAAGAGAGAGGCGTCGCCACAGATCGATCCCCTTTTGTTTTGGCATTCGAATTTGGCGTGCGCTTGTTCGAATCAGGGATTGTAATCTCGGTGATCGGGAAGATTGGAAGAAGTTTTTCTTTATTGGGTTCGCAATGGAGAACGGAGCAGTTTCGTCGGAGACCCAACAGGGAGCTTCTTACACCTATTGGGTCAGGGAAACGCGGAAGGATGCAGCTCCTCTTCCTGTACCTCGCAAGCTCTCTGCTGACGACATTCTCGCTTCTCAAGCGTCTCAGCCTCCTACCCTTGGCTCCGTCTGGAATCGGGTACTATTTGGTTTTTGAATTGCGACATTTCTGCTTTTGTTGTTGTTGTCGTAGTCGTTCTTGCTAAAGTATAGATAATCTGATTTACTGGGGGATTAATGTTTATGGTATGCCGTGTCGCCGGGGGAAATGTAGCGTTTGTAACGATATTTACCAACAAAAGTTTGAGAAATGATTTTAAATATTGAGAATAGTTTAAATAATGAGAATTTCAATCTGCTAATGTCTTTTAGTTTGAGACAATGTAGACTTTGTTAAATATCTTCGACCATTCGATTGGGTCATGTCGATATTATGAAGAAAGTTGAAACTTGAAATAATTAAGGAAGTCTGTATTTGTTTGTGATTAATTTGCCTAACTTTGAGACATGACCCATAAAATTCAAAATTAAATGTGTCTTTTCTATGGAAATGGGTGATCTCAATTGAGTCAAGAATTTCGAGGCATACTGCTCATAAATTATTAGAAGTGAAAATCTGGAGGTGGACAACTTAGATTCTCATGCATGGAATGCCACTACGATGATTGGCTTTTGAGATGATCTTCGTTTCTAGTGGGGTTTGATGCGTTGTTTGTGGTTTGTACTATTCATGTAGGCTGGAACTTGGGAGGAGAAGAACGTGAATAAATGGGCAAATGATAGAATGAAGGTTTGTGACCTCAACAGGCTGCAATATAATTGAACTTTTTTCTGTCATGCATTTTGTTTATCTTCTGTTGCCTCTTTTTAACAGATTTTTTCTCTCATTTTTTTCTTTATTGTAGGAGTTGCTAATGTCAGTGGCCTCCTTGGAGTTCTCCAGTGGTAAAGCAGAAATAGTGGATGTATCAAAATGTGTTGGGGATGTAAGTTTTCAGCAGTCCTTCTATCGTAATAGGTCCATACAAATGTTTGTCAAGTTTGAACGCTTTTGGTGGGATTTGATATAGAATCATTGATATAGCATTGATGAGACAGAGATTTGTTGCTTCCATAAACATTACTAGAATCCAATTGCAATTTGCTTAGGATATTTCATTTTTAATGTAATTGGGTGCATCTACCGCTTGTACAATGTTTCTTATAAGTTATAAAATCTCTTTATGGTAAGCAAGATGTCTTTTTACCCTGCATTTCTCTGTAACCTTTCCTGACTTTAATGAATTAGTTTATGTTTATTATGTAAAGTGAGTGAGACTATGGTAGTTATTGAAAATTGAGAACTTGCACTCCTCGAGATGTCCTCCTTTCAACACTTGAACTAATATATATATATATATATATATATATATATATATAATTTTAGCCCAACATTTTGGGTGGAGAAATTTGAACTTTTGACCTTAATAAAGACATGTCTTAAATAGTTGAGCTATGTTCAGGTTCGCCGTAGATATTAATTAACCTCAATATTTGCATTTGAAATATGCCATTTGTTATATTCTACATTCTTGTGTGCAGGCTGTTTTAGTGACTGTCCGTAACAAGAAGCGTGTTGGTTATACATACGAATTGACATTGAAAATTAAAGGTAGTGATTAACTTAATTACTTTTACTTTGATTTTCAAAAAAAAAAAAAAAAAAAAAAAAAAAAAAAAAAAAACAAAAGAAAATTGCATTTGTTTGGTATCACTTTCTTTTTTACTTTGTGTTCACTGAATTATCACAATTTGTACATGATATCAGGTGAGTGGACTATAAGACAGGAGAAAAAGATGGTGAAGGGGCATATAGATGTCCCAGAATTCTCATTCGGGGAGCTAGATGAGTTGCAGGTACATTGTACTTACATTTTCATTATTACATTTTGGGGGCTGCCAATTTCTTGAATGGTCAAGGGTAGTAATCATAAACAGATTCGTTGGAGAAGAAAACAAATAATAATAAGCATAAACAGAGACTCATCTTTCCAAACGATAGGCTGCCTTGTTATGGACAGATGTATACAATTCACTTGATTAGGTAACCCTTGAAGAACCTACCTTCCAGTTTAACCCTGATGGACTCTAAAATCAAATGAACCTAGGGAGTTGTGAGCTAATGTGGGGATCAACAAGGCTAATACCATTGTTATGAATTCAGCTTCTATGTCTTGAACTCTGATTAATCCGACAAATTAGTAATTGAATTGTCCAGAGGCAATAAAGCTATAACTGGGTTTTGTTCTTCGAGGAAGGTGGAGCGGTTCTTTTGTTTCTGCCAACACCTTCCTATGCACCCATCACCTTAGGTGGCGCAGAGATCATGATTAAGATAGTAGAGTTAGAGGTTAGCAACAGCTTCTCTTCGAACTTCCTGCTGATCATTAGTGTCTGCCCAATTGGGCTCAACATCATAGAAAGTTTATTCATCAAAAGAAAAATTGGGGCTCAATATCATAGAAAGGTTGAATGAACAGGAAGGATTCCTCCGGAGAGTCTTAGGCACCCAAAATCAAGTGCACCTTTTGTGGATGCAGTGAGTTAGCATCAGTCATTACTTCAATAATTAATGAGTGATTTGCTGGTGATTTACTGACTAAGACTTTTATAACTATCCTCTAAGCTTGCTTGTTTTAGATTATGCCCTCTTTTTGTAAGCTCCTCTTTCTTTTTGGGCTGTTTACTTATACATATATTCGGGGTAGAATGACTTGGTATCAATAGCTAGTAGCGATAAAAAAAAAAAGTACTTGGGCTTTATTATGATTCTGGCATAGAAGTTTAACTTGTGAGACGCTGCAGATGGAAGTGAGACTTAGCGAAGAGAAAGATCTTGTGGGAGAAGATAAGTTGCAGATTTGCCAAGATTTGAAGCGATTTTTGCAGCCCGTTCGTGAAAAGTTGCATCAATTCGAACAGGAACTCAAAGAAAGATAAAAAAAAAAAAAAGGGTTAAATCATTCTGAACAGCTATATGTGTCACATTTATTACTGTGCTTCAACGATTGATTGGCTTGGCTAGAATGTCTTATTGGATGATACCCTTTCAAGGATCATAATTTATGAACAAACACCGCAGATCTATAATCAATCTATAAGGGCCTTTGAGATGATCAAATTGTAATAACTTAATTCGTTGTGGAAACTTCCTTCCTTCTAGATTCTTCAATGTTCAAGGAACTTTGATGAGGTCTTTGAGGATATGATGGGACTGCTCTGTTTCCTTGTATGTGTAGTGGATGATATTTTGAATTCATTTACATCGATTTTTCTTTACAAAAACCACTTCAGGGTTTTGCAATTAGGCTCTCAAGCTTTCATCCATTGCTTTTTAAACCTCATGAAATTGCCAATTTAATAGTTTAGTTTTTGGTATTATTGTTTGATTGTAACAAATTTATAGTTTGATTAGAACAGTTGGTATATTTTACAATTTTGAAGGGTTTATTTACAACAATTTTATAAGATTGAAGGGCCTATTAATCAAGATGAGAATTCGATTGTAACTGACTTTTTGCAATTTTCCAAGTTTTATTTAGCAACTCAAATTTGTAGATATACAAGAAAAACCATGAATATTGCAAAATTTTGAAAAAAATATTGTGATTTGGTATTTGCGCAACCTTGTTCAGGATTATTTAAATCATATACTAATAATAATTTAAGCAAATATATAAAGAATTAAGACCAGACATATTAATCAATACAACAATAAATACAAAAGATTTGTTTATAAACATGTTTTGCTCAACAAATGTAACGCAAAACATCCCATTAAAAACAATCAAAATGACATAAACAAACAAAATATCAATTTGTTGTTGAAGTTTTGAAAAAAGAAAAAGTGTTCCTATTTTCAATTTTACAACAATTTACTCTCTATATGATAGATAAATGATTTTCTGCATTAAAATGACAAACTCGGTCAAATATGTGCCCCATTGAGAGATCGTATGGGAGTAAACACAACATGAGCATATCTCTCAAATAACTTAGTCCCCACAAGAGCAACTTAGTCACCACAAGCATATCTCTCAAGAAAGAACTTGTTAGATTCATATGTTAGATTCAATAATACAAAGAACTCAGAACTCCAAGCCCAAACAAACAACAAAAGAAGAATCCTATGTTAGATTCAATAATACAAAGAATGTTTAGTAATAAGAAAAGCTTTATTATGAAAACCTGGAATCACTCCTTGAAATTCACAGCAAAATTTGTAATCAGATCACATACAGGAGGATGAAGGTTATTACAAATGCCATCCACAAGGTTAAGCTCTGCTATAACAGACTGAAGATATAAACTTTATCACAAATTTGGATTTTCTGAGAACAGTAAAAGTTCAGATAGGCATTAAGAACTCAGTACATGATTTCCAACATAAATGGCTTTGGCAAGCATTGTATCTCCTCTGTCTATGCTATATGATGCCCCTCCTTAAGTTTGCTAACCCCAGAATCTATACCTATTTCTCATCCTCATCTCGTCCTGATTTACCCTCTTGGTAACAACACATTTTCAATTTCCCAAATGGATTTTAACCGGAAAAAAGCTGGTGAACCTCTACTTTTCTGCAATATTCCATAAAAGCCTCCTCCATGAATGATACATGTTAACTACCACAGTATATTCTCAGTTAATCTTCGGCTTGGGACGCCTTGGTCTTAGAAGAACGTAAAGAAGAACCAGAACGACCATGAAGGCAGGAATGGTTGTTCCATCAAACACAACGTCTACCTTTCTCTCTCGTGAGCAGTGAATGGGGTGAAGAAGAGCTAATGTTGTGTTTACTCGATCAGAAAATCTACAAAACATATGAAAATGAAATGTAATCCATATTAAATTTCAATCAACCACCGTACATAATGACCGAAAAAGGTCGGCAAGATATCTACTAGCTATTTTTTGCTCAACATCAATGCAAGTTATGAGTGACTGAAAGAATAATACAAAAGGTGAGGAAATCATGGTGAATACAACATCCACAAGTTTAGGTCCCAAAAGATTCAAAATAATGACCACATCTCTGTTTTTCCTTCCTAATATTATCCGAAAAGAATTTGTTTGAAGAAACCTTAACAGATGCCATAAATAAAGCAGAAGCTGATCAATCGAGTATCCTACACTTTTGTTGCATTCTAAATCAAGGACATTAAGAGATAGACTTCTGAACATTGAGAAACAGTGAGTTGCATAGGAAGTGCTGTGTGTGTTTTTTCGTGCTTGCAAGATGAGGCAAACGTTCAGTAAATGACACCAAAATTTCTGTGTTAGCATAATATTTCACGTCATGCACTGGTGATTATGGAAAAAATGTACATAACTATTCCTAATATACTTTTCAACCATAAAGAAACGCAGAAATTGAAGGTTTAAAAAAAAACATTTATATAATAAATGTTGGCAAAAATAAAGGCAATGATTTGAAGAGCCTAACCCTTTGGATGCCTCATTTAGGACGTGCAACAGTCTTACTGCATCAACATAACGCAGCTCTCCAGATAAGGTTGATATCTGATAATATAGAGATTATACATAATCATCAACTCAGTTGATGTTAGAGCCACTACAACTTTTGAAGAAGTTCAAGGAACTTACTCTTCTCCAAAGGCTAACAACATATTGATGCTTTTTTACAAGGTCACGCTCCTGTGACAGGAAGAGCTTGAAGGACTTTTCAGCTAAGTTTTGTAAAGGCTTTACACCCACAGAACTTTTGTTTGAAAACAATAACAGTGCATATCAAACACAATATTGATGCAAATTTAACCAAACAAGTGAGCAATAAAAAAAAAAAACATAATAAAGTAGTGATAAGACATTTTAATATTTGTATGCCAATAGCCGAACTGTGTTTATAGGCAAGGATACTTGTATGCTCCACCAGTAAAAGATGAATAGCAGAATTGATTCGCTGTATTGATTCTTCAAGGGCTGTGATGATATAACTCCGAGCAATAGTATCAGACTGAAACTGTGAAACATGCCATCCACGGGAAGTAATGGAAAACGGGTTGCAGCCTACTGACCATATCCAATCCTATAATGTTAAAGATACACACCTTGTTAGTAATGTACGAAAATGGAGTGTTAGCATTAAGATGCTGTAATTTTTTTTTTTTTTTAAAGAAACCACAGGGAGTACACAAAGGACTCGAACTCATAAATCCTTTATTAAGAAACATATAAGACAGATGATAGTAAACATCGGAAAGCAACCATTTCTAGGCATTACCTAATATAGAACCAAAACAAAATGCTCTAGAAATACCCAATCCGTACCCACTTCCCATATCAATTGGATTCAGACTTGAAATTTTTTTTTACCTTCATTTCTACTTCCTTTGTATCCCTGATTTTTCTTTTCTTTTTCACTCTTTTTGAAGTATTTATCTCAAGAGAAACAGTCTCTTTTTATTTCTTCAACAAAGTTAGTTTTTGGCTTAAATTTTTTTAAAAAATCCCCAACGTATTTACCTTCATTGGTGGGAAGGAAAACAGAAAGGAGGTCACTAGGAGTAGGGAGACTGGCAACAAGAAAGCCAAACAATGACTTCATTGAAATAATTGCTTTTGAGATCCAGCAATTTCTTTTTTTCCTTTTCACTTTAGTAAATGGATCTGGTTATTCAATGCTTCAAAGTGGCGAAAGAATTTTCTAGATGTGGGTACTTTTTTTTTCCCCTTCTTGGTGAAGTTTGGAAGGAAAATGTTCGTTTATTAATCCCAAAGTTAGTTGTACATTCAGGGGATCTAGCGTATAAGTAATGGGATATATGGGAGTAGTTTATAATGACTATTTAACCTTCTACCTACGGGAAGAGTAATAAAACGATAAACCAACTCACATTCCCGAACTAAACCTACCTAATCCAAATTAAAACATAAACAACAATAAAACAAATAAAAGAAAAACTATACACATTATTAATCCAATTGAAACTCCCAACAAGCATGCATCACTTACTTTCGACAGAGGGTTCTCTAAAGATGTTTTACAGATGCAAGGTGTAGATTTGCGCATGGAAAGTAAAGAACATAGACTACTCCAGAAAACTGTAAAATTCAATTAGAGATTTTGTGTACCCAAAATTATGGAATTCAGTCTTTTTATAAAAAAAAAAAACAACGCAAAATGAATGGTTTCTCCAACCCAATGGATTTCACTATAGTACCTCAACTGCTGTATCATGAGATGGACTGTATGCAAGATGGAGAGGGAGCAGACCGGAAAGATGTTCTGAAGTAGCAGATAGAGCAGCTTTGATTGGCTTCCTACATATTCAAAGGTACAAGAAGAAACAAATAATTAATTTTCTAAGATAATTACAGATTATAGCAAGCCTTAAAGGTTAACTCTAAAACAAGTTGTAAACCGCTTATTCTGAAAATGAGGCAGTTCATACTAATTTTATCTCAATTTATTTTTTAACAAATGGTTAAAAAGAAAAGAAAAGAAGACTAGATGCTTGAACGAACCTCATATCCCATATAAGTGATTTTCCATTGCACTGCAAATGGCTTTCCCAGGATGAAACCTCTGACTGTGCTACAATAACCATGTCGGAGAGTGCCTTTGCCTGATAATGTTTGTCAACTAATAAAGGTTCTGAATGAATGAACCAAAATATTGGAACTTCCAGTGTAGAACTACGAGGACCATTTGTCCCTGCAATATCCATAATCAGCAAATCAGTACTGGAAAGAAAGGATATAGGTCAGTATAATTTTAGATAAAAAAAAAAAGAGAGAGAGAGAAGGAACTCTTCAACATTTTTTTTTTCAAGAGACAGCTTTTCATTGAAAATGTGAAAAGAGAGATTTTTACTCAAAGGGTACAAACTTTAAAAGGAGTGAAAAAGCAAAGAGAAATACAAAGAAACTGCAACTCATAACAAATGATAACCTTAAAAACTTAACAAAGCACTGATGCATCAAATTGAATTAAGTATCAAAATAACAACTGTCACTCTACATTTTTTTATTTTCTTTTCTTTCTTCCTTTCTTTCAATTTTTTTTTTCCTTTTTGTTATTTGTAATGTCGGATTATTCTCATGACCTTATTATATTTGGCTTCCAAGGAAACTCGTAAGATATTAAATCCTAGGTAGGTGGCTACATGACGTGCATTCACTTCATTGAAGTGTTGCGATGACATAACTCCTCCTTAATAGTGTTGATAGTCAAGTTACACTTGTTATACATACACATATAAATTAGTGTGGGGTGATCCTTAAAGTTGACTTCCAAAATGCCTACGTTTGACATTAATTAATAAGAGTTCTCAGATTCAGTCTTCTTTATCTAGACTTACCATTTTTTTCACTTACTTATATTAATTAATATAGGGAATAATGGAAAACCCATTGGTAATTTCAACAATCAATAAACTTGCACAAGGGACCCTCATTTATTTGGTTGAAATCCTACTAACCATTTTCAATGGCCTAATTTAGATGGTGAAGGATACTAACTTCTCTGAAAGTTTCCCCTTCAACACGTCAAGAAACTTCACCCAGTCTCAATTTAAAGACTACAAACTTTATTTATTTCTTCTGCACAGATAATAAAGAATGCCTCTAATATTCAAGCTTTCAAGCAGCTTTATTTTGAGTGAATCATACTAGAAATGCTATGGCTGGTATTAATGCCCCACAAACCTAATTTCTTAAGAACAAACCGACTTACGTTGAGAAAAAGAAATAAAAGAATGTACGTAAAATAAGAAAAAAAAAATAACAGAACGCTAACGTACATAGCTATCAAAAGGGCTCTAGTTCAACATGAATGAGAGATAAAAGATAATTGCTAAAATCCTTGAGAAGGAGGCCCAAAGGGTGAAGATATCCAAAATACTATATTTCAGCCTTGTAGGAGACTAAAAGCCCAAAAAAAGGTAAATTTTCTAACCAAATTAGTCTGAAAACTTCGTGGAACAAATTTATAGAAAATTTCCAAATTGGGCATCAATCTCTAGCCGCTTTAAGGCTTGAGAATATATTCATCATGTATTTTTCCAATGTTAGTGTAGAAATTCAAGTCGTGAATGCATCACTTTGGGTTCTAAATTCAAACTAGTTTTATAATTATCCACTATTTTTGGATTCATCATGTATTTTTCCAATGTTAGTGTAGAAATTCAAGTCATGAATGCATCGCTTTGGGTTCTAAATTCAAACTAGTTTTATAATTATCCACTATTTTTGGATACACATCGCACCCATCTTCCCAATGTTTCAAGAATTACACAAAATCACTCAGAGAACTCCGTTCTCAATGCACTTTTTCTTTCTCCCTTCCTTTGGTACACTAGTTATCTGAAGTTTATCATAAAAAAAATTTCACATAAGGCAATTAAACATTTCAAGCGGCATTGATGAAAATTTTGGAATCATCATCTAATGTATACCTTATGAAACTGCAAACCCTCATCTAAAGCTAAATAAAAAAGGTGAAGAGGAGGCTTCAAAGACAAGTTTGAACAACTAAGGCCTAAGTAATCTCTCGGAGAAGGTAAAACTTTCAACTTGCATTGTACAATTATATCCTTTTCAAGGCTGATATCTTCCGAATATATACTTTTTTCTCATCTATGCCTTACCTCAAGTCCACCCATACCTCCTGAACTTATTATATAGAATAAGAATGTTACTTTTCTAAACTTATCTGGGTTACATTAACATCATATTCGTGAGATGATTGTAATTCCTCAGTTAATATGATGTCTTCTTCTCTCCAAAACGTTTTTAACCACCATAACAGATCATTTTTTGTGGCAAACAGAAAAATTCACTGGAGGAGTTAATACAAAGATATAGAGTAACCATGAAAGCTTACAATCCAATATATATATATATATATTTATAAAATTAAATGTGGCCCCAAACCTTTAGGGGAATGATCCAATCTTTGCAATTGATACTGGAGTATGGATGAATCAAGATAGGTACGAATTGTTTTCCGATAAGTTCCATTAACAAGCAACAATGGAACAGCTGCTGCACGTCGTGCCACTGAGAAGGCCATTGCCAAAGCAGGATCCTCCGACAATGGCAACCTACAATACATATTTATAAACAACGCAGGAACTATAATTCCAATAGAAAAATTAACCATCATATTCCAATACCAAAAATCTCATGGCAGGATATTGAATACATGGATAGATTTTTTTAATAAATAAAATAAACTAAATAACAAGACTGAAGTTTTCAAATAGTGGAGAGTCTCGGTTATAACACTTGTGTAAGACACATGAATGGAATGTGTTCAAATGAAAAGTGACGTATGAACCAGTACTTTTAAGGTTAGCCCAGCAAATGCCCATGGCAATGAAGGAGAGGAATTTCCATGGCAGGAAGCACTAGGTGTACTTGACATCTATCCCTGGCAACGGGCAACCATCTATATAAGGCCATGTTAGGAAAAGGAGATGGAAGAACGGTAAACTTTAATGCTTTAACTGGTCGGGAAAAAATTAGTTGAGAACTTGATCTTAGGAGTTGGAAGCTGGATGTAGTTGGGATATTCTTGGTTAAGTTCCTCTTAAACTTCCGGGTGAAACAGGAGTTAGTGCTTTGGTAACCTTTTTAGAAAGGAATTGTGGTATTTAATTTCTCCAAGAAATTTGAGGTATTTTTAATGGATTAATTCTCGAGGTGTTCTTAATAAAAATGATAGCATCCAGAAGAGATACCCAAATCACAATCTTGACTTGAACTTGAAACCTAATGAAAAGACAGCAGAATATGCAAACCATCCCTTTATGTTTTGTCCTTGGCTTCTGTTCTGAAATACTGTGATCAATCTTTCATGTAAACCTCCCATTGTTAATGTTTTTTTTTTTGTGTGTTCTCCTTTGGATAATTTGGACAGAGTAGAGGAATGTTCAATATCACATAGAAATTTGGACCATATTCGAAATGTTATTTTGTTCTAGCCTTCTTAGTGTGTTTTCAATTCACACTTTCTGTAGTTGCTCACCAACTTCCTTGATCCTTTTTTTTTCATAAATCTCTTATGCTAACGAAATTATATATAAATAAATAAATTTAAAATTACATAATATATTAAAAAGAAAAAGAAATGCACTGAAAGATTCCTAAATAATTTCATTTTATAATTTTAAAATGCTATTAGAGATTTAAAAATAAAATCTATTGTCTAAAGCCCATCTTATATATTTAAGATATAAATAAAGAACATAACTTATAAGACTACATGATAAACGACATACATGGTCTGACTAAATAGAGCTTTCTGTGAAGGTAACAACAAAGACGAAAGCCCATCCATTAGAGCTTTAAGATCCACGGGCAATTGTTTAATATGTCTAACTTTCTGCATCAGAGTTGGGAGAAGATTAAGATATATATACCATTGGTCCTTCCATAAATTTAGTATTATCAACCATACCTCTTGTGTGATGAAAAATAATTGAAATGATATTTTCTCAAAATAATGGAACGACCCGTCAGAAAGTGAAGGTGATATAATATGTCTCATTGACCCCCAGAGAGTAGCACCTAGGTGAGCCAGAAAAGTATCGCGTGCTACAGTGTAGTTTTGGAACTCCTGCTTGATCCAAGAAATTAGAGAAAAAAGAATCATTCATGTTGAGAGTCAAAACGCTTCATCAAATCATAGTAAACAATGCATTAAATGTTCCACAAAAGTAGAAAATAACACGACCTATAAGAGTCTGGCACTTACCTCATACGTATCGCTAAATAAATTCCAATTCTCCATCCGTTTCAATGCATCTATGGCCTTCCTCTTATGATTTTCATCATATTCTTCACCATCAAACGATTGAAGCTCATTTTTTAAGTCCCGCATCCTCTCATCAAGTTCTGTGCCAAAAAACACCAATTGTACATTTTGAAATCAAACAACTATACAGAATGCTTTGTTTTAACAAGAAATGAAACTTATCATTGATAAAATGAAAAGAGACTATTGCACAAGGAAACAAACTCCACAAAGGAGAGAGAGAGAGAGAAAAAAATCTAGGAGCAAAACAAAGCAAACCAGAAGTCCCAAAAGAAACAAAAGAAACAAAAGAAAGCAACAGAAAACAAAACACAACGCTAGAAACAGCCAAATAAAACCGCACTGAAAACCAAAATTAAAAAGTGACAGCAATCGAACTTCGAAGCAGCAACAAGGAACCAAGGACCAAGAATATACAGCATGCATCCTTTTGAAACACAATTTTATCAAGCAACAAGGTCAAATGAATTAAAATAGAAAATGAAGTTGCATTCCAAAGGAAGAAAGAAATAACCTTCACAAAGAGCAAGTTTCACTTTCCTTCCCTTGCAATGTTTGAAAGCAAAGAGCTCATATATGTCAATCTCTGCTAAAAGAATATCAATGGCTTGATGGTCTTTCTGCAAATTCCAAAACACAGGACAATTCAAAATAGGAGCTGCAAAACCTAATAAACAGTTCGACAAAAAAGATATTATCCAATTAAAAGGATTTTTTATAAGAAACGGAGACATATTTCTCAAGAGAAGCAAAGAGAAGCCTAAGGGCAAGGGGTAGAGATCGCCCTTCCCCACAAAACTAACAAAGAATAGCCTCCCAATACTTAATAATCATCAAAAGGCTGTAATAATAAAAGAATTCAGTATGATTTGGACACCAACAAGAGGCATTGTGTTGCACTGAAAGTTAAAAGGAGGCAAAAGAAGAAGACACATCTTCGAACACCCCTATTTCTTGCCTCCAAAGGCCCTAAAGGAGGGAAAGTAGCACATCTCCAAAGTAGCGCCTCCATAAGCCGATCACCAAGTTTTTTGGTAAACAAAACTCCAGCCCAAACTCATTAAGAATATTTGGCCATCCTTTGGCTGCAAGAGGAAAATGTAGAAACAAGTGGTCGACGGACTCCTCTTAAAGACACAAACAGCAAATAAGAGAGATTATCAAAATTTGACACTTCCATTGCAGCTATAAGTTGGTATTAAAAAATCTTTAGGCAAGCGACCATAATAGTTTTGCAGCTTCTAGTGGCTCTTATCCTTCATAATATTACTCCACTGCTGCTGTCTTCCCTTCTAGTGGCTCTTATCTTTTGTTGCCCAACCCCTATGCTACACTCCATGAATAGCACAAATGACCCATCTCCACAAATCATTTTCCTCTTGGGTCAATCTCCAAACCCATTTCATAAGGAGAGATTAACTTTTTTGATGAAGAGAACAAATTTCAAAACCATACATCGTTGGTAAAGCAGTGCATTTCTAGGAAACCAAGTGTGAAGCCGGTTTGAAGCTGGCACCGTACCAAATGAAGTCTAAGACAAATTTCTCAAGATAATTGACCACTTTGCTGGGGGCTCTCAAGAGAAAAAAGAAGAAGCATGGGAGGCTATTTAACACTTCATGGGCCAGGGTTAGGCGCCCCCCCTGTAGAAAGAGACACCCATCTCCATTGATCAACTTATCTTCAAGCACTAGGTGTTGACAAATGACTCAGGCAATCAGAGACTAGTACGAACAGAAAAGGTAAAATTGGATTGTTTTGACAAATGGCTCTAGGTGGAATGATTTTACCTCTTAAGCTTTCCATTAATGATAATTGAATACTTAACACTAGAGGAGTTGGGCTCTTTTAATAGTGTTGGCAAGGAGTAGGCAAACCAAATGAAGGATTTCCAGTTCAGGGTGGATGAGTGGAAAGATGATCTATTTCATTCTGTAATTTTTGTGCGACTACCACTAGAAAACTCATCAAAGGCTATGGAGAAGGTTTTTCAATCAATTGACACAGAGCAGGTGGAGTGGTTTCTGGTGGAAGGGGCGGAGGTGGCCATGGCTTCTGGAGAAACTTGGGTTAGGAGCAGAGACGTAATCATTTTCCCGAAGTTATGTACCAAACCCTTCTATGATTCCAAAAAATTTAAAACTAGCATTCTAATACAGTTGAGAAACAATTTCCACCAGTTGACCAATATCTATCACAAACACAGCTTTTCATTCTATCTGGTGATAGAATGTAAAAAAAGATAATTACAATAACAAAGGCAACCAACTAACCTAAAAGAGTAAGGCAAATAATAGGAACATTTAAGGGACCAAAAAGACAATATATTACACTCAAATGACCAAAGAACTAACAACTACAAAAATAGCATCGACCAACTGTAAGAATGTCCAACCAAAACTAGGGCCAAATCCTCAAAAATAAATGAAAAGGTAACTAATTTAAGGCATTAATCTCAACACCGATTCAAGTTTAGGGTTCAATTCATTCAATGGAAAGTTTGAAGTTAAAATTCACTAACTCAGTTAAGCATAAGCATTGGGATACAACATGATTTTATCCCTTGCAAATTAAAATATATGGTTTGACCAAGTAATTAATTTCATCAATATACATTGCTTTTGATTCATTAATTAATATCCTATCACTTGCTCTTTATTATCAATTGTTAATACCATAATTAGGGGACTCTCAATCAAATATGAAATGCAAGCTATCCATGGACTTGATACATGCCTGTGTTTAACTTTTAAATTAAACAGAGTCATCCAATAAAGCATCTGAATAAGCTCGTTGAATAGAAACTATATTCTACTTCCTAGTTATAAAAAATTTACAAATTGTCAAAAGGATATTTTTATAATTGTCCTCTGTATCTTTCCCATATCAATTGCTTATTGGTTTCATAAGAAAGTTCATACATCACCAAAAACAGCAAATTTCTCCTGAATAGCATCTTGCAGGCGATCTTCAGCTTCATCTTCTGAGATTTCTGCATGCCATAAATAAAGTATACATTTTTGTGAATGTAGACCAGTACGAAGTCAGAATGATGTTTACAACTCAAAAATAGAGTAACATCTGTTTGGCTAAGAAAAATATAGAAAGGCAAAGAAATTTTAAATGTTTTCTCACAAGATGCTAACAAAAACAATGATAAATAAATTTTAACTTTATTTCTGGCACCCGGTAATTATTGAGAATTTTAAATGGCATGAACTACAAGGTGCTTAAATATTGTCTCACAAGATAAAATGATCGGTAATTACTAGCCGCCAGAAACAAAGACCTATAAAAAAGGTAAACCAGTAAAAAAAAATATAGGATGATGCTTAACTCAAAAAACAGAGAACCTTTCTTGGCTTTAGAAACCATTTAAAGTCAACTTTCAGTAAAAAATTTAAGCGGCGTTTGGCAACTTTTTTTAAATTAGAACCCTAGGAATCAGAACCGTGGGGGCATTTATCTGGAAGGTTCAAAAGTAAGGAACAAGAAAACTATATTTGGGATGCAGAGTTGTAAAGCCTAGAAATCAGAAATCTGTGTTCAGAAACTTGTGTTTGGGGTGCAGTGTTTTGAAAACGGGGTTGGACAGTTTTTTTTCTTTTTTCATTCTGCTACTTTGTTCTATTTTTCTTTTTTGTGGATGTTTTGCAAATTGTAGAACCCCTTGGGTAACACGGGGCAATTTTTGGGGGGCACTTTTGATTGAAACATTTAATTTACGTTATAGTTTAAGAATACGAAAAAAAATTTCCAACGAACAGAGCATTTTATACCATTGACGAAAAGAAAAACATAGCATCAAACATGGCAATGTTCACAGTCATGAGTTCAAACATTAAGATAAAAAGTCTAGAAGTAAGATATAAAAACATGAACAAACATAACAAAACATAGCATGACAATCAATATCCACATAAAGTCGTCATCAAAAGGGTCGAACAACAATTATTGAAGCAGAGTTTAGAAATAAGAGGGTTACTCCTAATATAGAAAATAAATTCTTCAAGGGTCGTTCATAGAAATGTATGTTTGTATCAAAAAAAATACAGACACAGTTTTCTATTTAAATAAGGGTCCAATCTTGAAGGATATCACGTAACATTAAAAATTAGAATTAAAACAAATGTGTACGTCAATTATCACGTATTATAAAAAAAATTAGGAACTTTATTTTTCACTTATAGTGAATTAAAATAAAATTTTAAACATAGCCTAATATTTGAAAAAAAAAATTAAAGGATTAATTTTCTTACTTATGTAATAGTTAATAATTTCTAACTAAGTTGTGGGCACAAAATTTTGAGTTGCTTTTCAATGGTAATTCAAATATATAAATTTTAATTTAAAAAAATGATTTTAATGAAAAACGTTGTATTTTATGATTTTCTTTCTTCCCCCATCCAAGGTCACACCATCCACTGCCCGTCACCGCCATTGCTGTCATCGCCAATTTTTCCCCCTCTTTTCTTCTTCTCTCTTCCCCTTCCCCCTCCTTTCACCTCTTCTTCCTCAAATTTTCATTAAAAAAAATTTTGATTTTTTTGTCGATTCCAGTTTTGAAATCAAAGGGGTCCTTCATTTTCAGATCTTTCTCCCTTTGGTTTCCAGAAATTTTATTTTATATATATATATATATAGGGAAAGATGGGGAGAAAGGAGGAGGAAGAAAGAAAACGGGAAAAAAAATCCAATAATTGAAAAAAATAAAAGTTTATAATAAGCTTTGGCCAAATTAAAGTCATCAGCACCTTGAACAGCACCAACCGTCTTTTCAACATTTGGTAGGCTTATCTCAGTTCGTACACCTTCACCACCAACAGCGGGCCCCCATGAAAAGGGGCCTGCGTTTAAATCAATAAATGCCCACCTGATGCAAAGCAGATATCATTGATGCAATATTCTTAGCATAATATCCTTCGGTGCATGTGGACATAGACGCTACCTGTCATTGCCAATCCATGTGTCTGTAAGACATTCAGCATGCAAACCACTGAAATCAAAAGATTTCAATCCCTTATCAAGAGGAAGCCTCATCTCTCTATCCTTCCCCTTCAACATCTGATCAATAAACACAAGCACGTACCGGAAGGAAATAACCATCAAAAAATATTATATAAGATGTTTTAACCAGAAAAACATGTGAGTTCTGTGTACCTGCTTAACTTTGATTTGAATGATATCAGCAGTTTCTTTTCCTTGATACAATTCATCGACTTTTCTTAGGGCATCTTGGCAGATGTTGTACCATTCCATCTTCAAATAAAAACCATAAAATTTTTGCAATAATATAAAATTTTAAAATGTCAGTCAAGGGAGTTAATGGAATTCAATCTCAACGATCTCAACGGACTGGTTAACAAGGATACTTACAGTATCAGTGTCTTCAGCTGTGGTCCATGCAAACTTACTCATCGGATGCTTTTCATATAAGGGTCTTTTAACCTTATCAAGAGCTGCCAATCATTAAATATCATAGAATTTTGTAAGCTCGAATAGCTAATAAAGAGAAAAGGAAAATTTGAAAAAACCCCAGAAGAATTGATCATACCAAGAATAGTTTCTGGTGTGCTTTCAGATTGAAGAATTCTTGATTGCAAGTGTGTGTCCTATTAGAAAACGATCAATCATTGTTTCTCATAAATTAAAAAAAAAAAAAAAAAAAAAAAAAAAAAAAAAAAAAAAAAAAAAAAAAAAAAAAAAAAAAAAAGGAAATATTCTCATTAAAAAAAAGTCGTTTAAAAATACCCAGACACTAGTATAATGAACCGATACAAAAGCACATAAAAAAATTGCATGATATAAGAAAATTCACATTAACAAATATTAAGTACTATGCTAAGTTGCTAACATAGTTCCTGGCAGTTTTAAAGTTTGCATGTGTTGATCATACTTAGCCACACGGGGGAGTAGTAAATTGTTCTTTATATAATGAATGCATTAAGCTCAACACCGCGGAATTCTCAAAAGCTCTATACTAGAAAGTCTTCATACACTTGGACAGAAGACCAAGTAACAGGAAAAACCATAGCACGTAAAAAAGGCACCCCTCCATGAAAGCAAATCCCAATAGCAGAAAAAACCATACACAGCCTCGAATCTATTGTCTCTGCAAATTAAGCTCCTTAAGCTTTAACACATCATCAGGGAAATCCTAATCTCTACATTATCAAAAGCTTTCTCAATATCAAACTTCAAAATCTAACCCTTCTATTTTATCTGTACTCTTCTGCCATCTCATTAGCAATTAAAATTGCATCAAGAGTTTACCGGCCTTCGTGATAGAAGGCATGACTCTATGCAATCCTTCGTCTAGAACCTTTTCAAGGACTTTATAAATTGAGGATGTTAAACTGATTGACCAGAAATCCTCAACAGAACAGCTAGTTCTTACTTCTGAATTACACAAATAAAGTTCTCCCTCAAAACCGAATTTACATGCCCATTGTGGTGAAATTCTTGAAACAACCAAAAGAAATCCTCTATCAAATGCAGTCAAAATTTCATAAAAAAACTGAAATGAGCCTTGGTTTTACCCATAGTTTTAATGGCAAACCAAATATCATTGTGGGAAGAGGGAGTAATTAGAATATTGTCTCCAGATCTAGAAACCACATTCCCCGGGAAGTTGAGAGGAATAATTCTCTTGCCTGGAATCTTTGTATATAAAGATGGAAAGAACGGTAAAATTCCAGCTTCAATTTCTTCGGTAAAATTTCAGCTTCAATTTCTTTGTAATACAATAGCATATGTCCAGATCTTAATTCAAAAATTAGAAGCTTCCTCATTTTTGAAGCTAAGAACTAACTAGTATGCTCATCCCCTTCTCGAAGCCATTGAAGTTTCCACTTCTATACAAATTCCTTTCTTCAACCAAGTAAAAATCCATGAACTCGCCTGTCACCTGAGAATAAAGATCTTAATCTTGCATAGACCAGAGCCTATTTCTGATTTAGCATCAAAACATTGAAATGTCAGCAAGCAAATTCTTCTCCTTAACTTTCCTTCTAACTTCATATACAGCAAACCAATCTTTAAAAATGGATTCAAATTTATGAGCTTTGAGGAAATAATAAAGCCAGCCCAACCGTATGATCCATCTTCACATAATGACTTCTCAATAAGCTTCATACAATCTTGCACATTTAGCCATGAATTGCAAAACCGGAAACAAGGGCCCCAAATAAAACTACCGACTTCAAAAGAATAGGGAAATGGTCAGAAAAGGAATGTCCTTGTTTTGAAGCCCTTGGGCTATCAAAAAAACATCCCACTATTTAGAAATAAGGAATCTGTCTAACAAAGGTTGAAGCTCATATTCACCTAATCTTGACTGCGTTAATTTGCCATTAGATAATTAATGTTATTTAGGCACTCACTCACTAGACACAAGCCCACTATTTAAGCATGGAGATGTGGCCTCAAACATCAAAGTTGTAAGCCTCTTTATATTAAACATAGGATAAGCTTTGAGGCACCTCTTAACTGCCTCGCCTTGTGGCCAAGGCTTGCACCTCAACCGATTTTAAAAACATTACACAAATGCACCACAAAATCACACAAAACGTCATGGTGGAAGGAAACATCTTAAATTCTAGGTCCAACTATTGTTGTGGAAGAGTCCTAAAAATTGTTACTTCCTTATCTACTTGGCTATTTGCTCGAAATAAGTGATGATAAAAAAATGTTGAAGTGCTTCCTCGAGAAATTGGAATATTAGTCCCCTAAGACTGTTGGAAGCTAAACTTGAAGAATTTGCTAATCTTTTTAATACGCTCCCTAATGCTCGACCAAATTTTCAAGAGGCAAATACAGGGTCATTTTCACGTAAATCATGTTTGTACATTGTTTTCCAAAGAAGCAATGGTAAAAAACTAATAACTAAAGCAGTATGGACGCCCAAGACTTCAGAAAATGATTAAATTCTTTCATCTGAACTATGTCCTCAGCCAACTAAAACACATTGCAAAGGGTCCAGAGATAAAACCCCAAATTTTGTCTCGCCTTCTAGTAGTTGAATCCTTTGTAGACAGAGCGCCAATGCAGAAACACCTTTATATTCATGGCGACTTTATATCTCAGGTTGGAAATAGATCATCTCATGTGTATGCCATTTCTTGGGCAGTCCCAAGCTCCCAAGATGATCTTTTTGTGCAACTAAGTTATGGACACCCTTTCTTTTAATGCAACTAATCATTTTCAGAACTTCTTTAACTAACCCTTTTCAGATCAGAAATGCTTCTGTCTCAAAAGGAACAGCCGCACCTTTTCTGACATGAAAAATCCCATGAACAAGCTTTAAAGGACGTAACTTCACAGTTTTAAAAGGATTCTCCTCTAATCAATAAAACCTTCATTCAAAATTAAGAATGGGCACCCTTTCAAGCACAAGGCCATAAGTTATCTGGACCAGTGTGGTTAACGCTAGTATATGGCACATCTAGTTGAAGAAAAATCATCACAATTCTTTATGATTTGACAAGTGGTATTGAAACTTAGGGATGCAAAAGAATTTTTAAGTTGCTTGTTGTCAACCATGGCCACTTGCTTATGTAGTTATAAGAAATGATACACTAATGCCAATTGGAATGCCTTTTTAGTTTGTCATGGACTCGGTTGATACCTAATCTTTCTGTGTACTCAACCTTTATGGAATGAATAGTTTTCTTATCCATCGTTTTAAACTAGACAGATCAATAGAGAGACTCCCCCCTACACGAGGAAAGCAAGACTAAGAAAAGGATTCTAACTCAAACAAGAATATAAATCTTAAGTGCACATTCAACAAACAAACAGGGAAAAGGAAAAAAAGAACCTTTAATTTTTGTGCTCCGGTAGTGTGCATAAATCATGTTTCTTTGAAAAGAACATACCCACACTTCTTATAGATGAAGAAGTTTTGTAAGTTTTCATTGCTCTAAAAAAAGTTGTTTAGAAGAAACAGATATTTTATTGATAAGTAAAATATGTAAATGGCAAAAGAGGTAAAATAGCCTCAAAGCCCAGAAGTAGATTATAAAAAGATTTTCCGATTTTCCACTTCAGCCAACCAAATCGAAAAAAAGAAAGAAAAGAAGTGAATACCTCTTTAAGAAAGTTTATCTCCGATTCAGATAAACCTTTCCTGCAATAGTAATAGAATAATCAATAATGAAACAGAAGAACAAGGAAATACCACAATGTCTCTCATGATTCAACATGTCAACATCTGACAAGGCTCACTCACAAACCTTTCTTATATTCAAATTACTCCAGTCAAAGAGATCTATATTCAAATCATTTATACTTTTGCATTCGCATGATCATAATGGTGCAGGACATAAATTATTTATGCTGCTTGCATGATTAAGACGTGCAATAACAGCAATCAGTAAACAAAACCAAGAGGATACCATGATCAAGCAGAAGTTGAAAGATTCAGCTCACCATGATGCTCAAAATAATTAGAAGATTTATAACACAGACTTGCATTATCAGAAACAACAAATGTGGGGTATGGAGATTTGAACCTCCAACCTCAAGGAAGGAAGTAGATTACAATTAACATTGAGAATAAAAATTGATTTCATTGATATGAAAGAAATAAAAAATATTGCTTCTTGTTCAAAAAGAAAAAAAAGAACAAAAATTTCAAGGAGACCTACTCGTTGAAAGCAAAAAAACAAATAACCAAACCTAAGGCATCCCCACCCCATTGGTCCTTTAATTTCTGACAAGTCATCCCTTCTCCCTCCCTCTCTTCCCCCTTCCCCTCTTGCTGGGCCCGTACTCCCCTCACCACCACCCACCCAATGGCCCCTACCCCAGCCACTGGCCCCACCCTGACTACTCTCTCACTCTCTTCATATCTAAATACTATAAAATAATAAGAAATAAATAAATATGATTCCAAAGCAACCAATCCATAGCAGAACCAAACACTAAGAATCAAAATCCCTTGTTTCTGTAACTCAATCTTCTTCTTATCTTCTTCAATGGAGCCACAAAATCCAACTATTCTGTAACACCCAATTTGTGAAATAAATATTATAAGGTAACTTTTGGTATTAATGAGTTAATGATGGAATAAATAAATATTTATAAAAAAACGCAGAAAAAATGCAGAGAAAACGAATTCTTAAGCCACCACCGTACACTATAGCCGACGACGACAGCGTACAGTGGCAATGGCGTGCACACAAGGGAGAAGCGAGCTTCAGACCAATTTTTGGCTGGATCTTTTAGCATAAAGGGTGCTGGAACAATTTAAAGAGAGAGGGGACGACGTTGAGGGCGAAAACAAAAGATGAAGGCCAAGATTTGGAGGAGTACCCGAGACCCAAGTTGTAGCGTCGGTGAAGAAAATAAACAAAAATCTGAGCAGTCATACTTGGAGTTGAAGCACAATTCTGAAGGGATACCATCGTGGGGGCAAGAAGAACGATCCTCGTGAAGAGCCCAAGTGCTGAAACACCGAGAGGGGGAAGAACGAGTTGAGATTTGAGTACGTTTTCTGGGTTTACTGTGAGTGCCAATCAACCCTATCTTGCTCAATTTTGAATGAAACTTGTTGAATATGGTTTTTGGATTCAGAGTGACGAGATCTACAAGTCTTGTGAAGATTTCAGGCGTGATCAAGGGCAGTAGGAAAAGATACGGGCAATGGAAGTTGACAGCAACAAAGGAAGAAGCAACATTGTTGTTAAGCGTATGCATGCTAGTGAGAGTGACGACCCGATTCAAGTGAACCAGTCCAAACCGGTTCGCCTAAGCCTGACCCAGCAGTCCGAGGCAATTTTCAGCATAACGAAGATGTTGTGGAGAGAGAACCACGTGGACTGACATGTTGGTAAAGGGTTCTTCTCAAGAAAGATGGTGGGTGGGGAGAGGGAAAGACATGAGAGAGATAGAGTACTTCAAAGAAAAGGAATTGTGAAGGCAAGGTCGTGGATCTCACCCCTATCAATTGTTGCTCAATGGAGATGAGAGAGTCGAAAGGATGTGACCAGCAAGGGAGGGACCGATGAAGGAGGGAAGGGGGAAGGAAAGGGGGTGGGAGTTGGTAAGGGGAGTGGGAGTGATTACGTTAACTTACCATCAAAAAACTAAAATGGAATCATTCTAAGCCTTAGAGATGAAAGAGTAAGTTTTCAAAAACCTAGAGACTAAAACAGACAATTTTTTAAAAAATAAATAAATAAAATTAGCAATGTAATAAACAACCAAAAAAATCCCTAGCCTTGCAAAAATCAGCCTAATACAAGTGTCAAATGACAATGCCCACTTCCAAACACCACCAAAGCAAAAAAAAAAAAAAAAAAAAAAAAAAAAAAAAAAAAAAAAAAAAAAAAAGCATCATGAGAATCCACAACAAAAACCATGCAAACCTTCAGACTTAATCTAAATAGAGGGTGATCCAGTTTATTCAAAATAAGTAATTTCCTTGCTCAAAACTAACAAAGAAGGATTTGCTGACAATACGATAAATGCTTCCCATGAACATGGTCGTAAACTTTTGATGGATTTGATTTTCTTGATAACATACAGGTCAGATTGCAATATTTAGCCGATTCTAAGACTATTCAAGATGGATCAGAAAAAAAAAAATTGTTTCCATCACTGATTGTTCAACTGTCTGGTTAATCTCTAGTAATAAAGTTCAGAAAAGAAACTAATCAAACAAACAAATTTGCAGTAAGGATTTGCTAATAAATTTACATACCGGTATCCATATCTGGCCCTTTTTGGGTCACGCTTGAGATTTAGAATAAAAATGTTATAAGCATTTTCAAGTTGAAGGTACTCCACAAAGCTAGTGAAAAGTACATCCATCAGGTCCACGTCTACTTGCCAGAGAGTATCATTTCCATCCCTGCAATCATCAGATACATTTAACAGCCAGAAGTGTCGATATAAAAAATAAAGCCAAAGCCAACATTCCTCAAACAGCTTCAACAATGAGAATATAATGAAACAATAAATGATAAAACTAACAAGACTATCAAAATTACCCATTATTGGATACATCTTCTTTGCGAGATAAGACATTTCTTGCATGCTCAAAGATTGAAGTAACCTTCTCACCCGTTTGAATTGCATGAACAGAGAAACTGCAAAATTTCAACAAGAACATTTTTCATGAGAAAATTAAGGATATCATTTCAAACTTTGCAAGCATGAGCTAAATAGTCATTACTAACTCATCACAACCATAAAATAAGATATTTAACTTCCTCAAAGAAGCCTATCAACTTCGGTTCCCATAATATACAAAGTACCAGTACAGCATTACTTGTAATTTATGTGACTGACGAAGGGAAGTTGGTGCTTCAAAACTTTATCCACGCTGATCTTATAAAAAGGGGTTAGCACTTCCCTGACTTGTGGAATCCGTGTGTGTTCAAAGATATGATCAAGTTTCGTGAACCAACGTTCAAGCTCTTCCGGATGCAGCTTGAATTCTAACAAGAAAGAGGACTCTTAGATCATCCACATAACAATTCACAACCAAAGCTAAAAATCCAACCGTTAAACAAATTCATAATCAGGAACATTACATACCATGGTTACCTTTCCCTTCAAATCCTATAAAAATGAAATTCACAGGGACTGGAAGGTACAAGGATTCAACTTCAAGAAGCTTCAAGTAATTTGCTATATTACCTGCGATGGAAGATGAACGTGAAAAAAGAGACTTTGAATGGTGCACTTGCTTTTTCATTGTATTGGTTCCACATCATATTACAGTAGAGACATCAAGATTTTCACTAAAGAATTTATTGAAGAAAGAGATGTAGAAAAGAATGAGGTTTGACATAGACCCAGGGAGGATTAGGAAATTGCCAAAAAGAATACAGAATTTAAATAATAATTATATGAAATGAGCAAAGATAATACAACTCCCTTGTCACTGACACTCCAAATGACAATACAAACACTTTTACACCAAACCAACTCTAGATCTAAATATTTGCCATGAAATACACATTTGTTTCAGACTATCTTGCACAGGTACGGGAGACTTTTTAAAGGAAAATTTTAAGATAAAATAATAAACTCTGTAAACCCACCAACCAAGCTAAAAGATATCCCCTGCAAAAACATACATTAATAAGTGGAGACTTACAAAACTTTCTACATGTTCATTTATAAGAAGAAACACGAAAGTAAATGAATGTAACATTTTCAAGAATATGGATAAGAATGAGCAGAGTGAGCTATTTCCTAAATGAAAGTTAAGAGACATTTCAGCTGGCTCTGTATCTGGCATGAATCCATCGGTGTTGCAGAGTTGTGACATGACTAAAGATTTTTGCACCGAGAGTTTTAGAGGCTTAGAGCTCTCCCAACAAGAGTTTAATCACAGTATAAATCTAAATTTTCTTACTGCACTCCACGAACTACTCTTCACTTAGATGACATCTAACCAACTCCCATGCTTTAACATAAGATAAACCAAATTAAGTACCAAAAGACTCCAACTCTCACGACACTTATATTATTAATAAAACAGAAACCCTTACACTGGTTAGACTGATGCAATTACCTGCCTTTGTGTAGTTAACCACACTCGTTTTCTCAGGGCTGGATGATTCCAGATCATCAAAATCTAAACATTATGTCAAAAAAGAGTAAAACAAATAAATTAATTAAAATAAAACAAAAAACTCATTAGCAATAGATTAGAAACGTATATAAGCTTTGAAGTGATAAAGATAAGAAAGTTAGACATACCACCACGTATGACTGTCTCACTCCAAAACCTACTCTTATCTTTAAGGTTGAACAAGGAGAATACAGATGACTTTACACTTTTACGATTTCCAGAGGAAGATGCAAACGATCTTGCTGCTAATAGCTGATAAGAGCACACGAAAGAAGTTAATACAAATGCATTTGTAAGTTAACATGCTAACCATTCCTCACAGGTCATTATCTATTCTATTATGGAAAGAACTAACTGGATCATCATTGCTCCAGGTGAAGTAGAGCAAGGTATAGGAAACTCATTCAAGGCTGTGCGCAACTATATCCCAGGCAGACCAGATTTATCCAATGAAATATGTGAAATGTGCGCTCTAACATAAATATTCATCACACTTTTAGAGGGAGTGATTAAGTAATTTCTTGCTGAATAAAAAAAGAATTTTTTTAACAACAAATAACCTTTCATGGATCGAAGAAAAGATACAAACAACCTTCCTATGAGCAAAAATTAACAAGTAACAAACAAAAAATCAACTAACCATAAAGGCCAAAACAGAAACCCAGGAAAGACAAACACATTAAAGAACACAATGAAACAAAAAGAAAAACCAAAAGAGAACCAAAACCATGACCAAAAAACGAAGAACCAAAGGGAACTAGAAAAACACTGAACAACATTCCAGCCACTCCAAAAGCTTTCACCTCTAGCAAACAAAAAAGACAAAGGGAGCCCCACGGCAGAAAACGCTTTGAACCAAAAAGTGCCAAAGCAAGAAACGACAGCCAGGAAAATTTTGGTCGCAAAAGAATCTACAAAACTCAACAAGCCTCTAGAGAAAGCCACAGAATCCTAGGCCTTAATCCTGTAAACCTTGATGCCACAATCATTTATGAAGGAAGATAAATAGTTTGTCTTTAAGCACTTTGAAGGAGTTAGAATCTTCTTGAAAAAGATTGTTAAGGACCTCCTCAATAGCGTCTTCAGCTTATCATGCTGCAAGACGATTGAAAGTTGAACTCCATGTCAGAACTACTAATACTCACCATAGAATCTATGTACATCTCCACTCGTTCTCCTAATAATATTGTCTTGTTGGAAGTCCCATTTGTTGAATAAGAAACTCCCTTGGAAAGACAAGAATCCTTGAAAGAGGGAGATGAAATGATGGCCATAGGGAGAAAGTTAGGCTCGAGAGACTCCTCAAATAAAGAATTATGGATCTTTGATTGAAGGATCCAATAATTGAGTAAAATTTTCCTCAAGGAGGTCCTAATTCTATTTGGGAGAATCTTTCTATGGGTTTTGTTATGGGTTACCTAAAACTCAAAGAGGGGTTGATTTTGCGCTTGTGGTTGTGGATAGTTATAGCAACATGACTCATTTTTTGGCTTGTAAGAAAATATTTCATGTTATCCCAATTGCTAACTTGTTTTTCAAAGAAGTGTTTGTTTGCAAGGAATCCAAACATCTATAGTTTCCTTCGTGGTGTTAAATTCTTTAGTCGTTTATGCATAACACTATGGCAAAAGTTTGATTCAGCATTGAATTTCAGTACTACAAGTCACCCTCAAACCGATTGTCAAATACAAATGACTAATCAAACCCTTGGTAACTTAATCTGCTGCCTTTGTGGAGATAAGCCCCACCAATGCGGCTAGCCTTGCCCCAAGCAGAGTTTGCCTTTAAACACTTGAAGAATCAAGGGAAGTCGCCATTTGAGACCATTTACACTAAACTTCCTTGTTCGACGATCTTGCCTATTTACCCACTTCTTTGGTTGTTCAACAAGAGGTTGAGGAGATGGTTGCCCATTTACCCATTGGCTCAGTAACACAAGGATGAGTTTTATTTAGGGAGAGGAATCTGATGTAGTACAGTTTTGTATTTTCTGTTTGTGTGGCTTTCTTTTATTATTTTCTGTTTAGTCACAATTGTTTTACCCCCTTGTTTACCATGGCTTCTTACCAAGTGATATAAATGTTTAGTTTAATCTTTTACTTGGGTAGTTGGTAGCCTTTTAAATAGGGGTCCCTAGGTTGTATCTCTTTTCTCCTTTTGTCAGTGTTCCATGTGGAATGTGAGAGAAACTTGTTTTTGGGAAGATAAGTGGATTGGGGAAGCCCTCTCTGCTTTTTTTGTCCATGTCTTCATCAATTATCCTCAATGAGGAATCGGTTGCCTATGGTTGTCATTTCCCTTTCTTCGACCGCCCATTCCTCTTGCTTAGGCTATTGTATAGCACTTTTTTCCGTAATTGGGGAGATTTTTCGTAATCTAGTGATAAGAGATGTTTGTTGTTGGAGTCCTAGCCCAACAGATTGTTTTTCGTAGAAGTTCTTTTCCTTTTTCTCCGTAAATCCTTCTCCCTGTGAGGTTTTGGTTTTTGTATTGTTGTGGAAGTTGAAATTTTCAAGAAGGTTAAGTTCTTGGCATGTTATCCACAAAAGAAAACATGTTAGATTGGATGTCACAAATGTTGTCCAATCTGTTTGGTCTTAGGCATTGTATTTTTTGTAGGAGGGAAGCAGAGGACCTTGACTGTATTTCTTGGAACTATGATCTTACTTATTCAATTTGGAGTAGGTTTTTTCAGGAGTTTGGCCTTGTGTTGGCTACGCATAAGGGTTGTAGAGAAATAATTGATGAGTTCATTCTCCACCCCTTTTTGCAAGAATGGTCATTTTTTGTGGCATGTCAAGCTGTGCTATTTTATGCGATCTCTGAGTCGAGAGAAACAATAGAGTTTTCAGAGGGATTGAGCATTCTCTGAGTGATCTTTGATTGGAAGCCCTTGTTATAGTAGGTCTCCTCTTTTTTGTGGGTGTTTCTCATTGTTCACTTTTGTATTCTTTCATTTTTCTTGACGAAAACGTGGTTATTCATCAAAAAAATAAAATAAAATGAAGACAGGTGCCCAATCAGTGAAGTTCAATTCGGGGTTCGGAAGCTGCTTTTCCCGAGTATGAGGCTTCTCAAACTGTGGATTTATAAGGGACTAGTTAGTCTCCAGGTCCAGAGAGATTCGTTATTTACTAAGGAACAACAGTAGAGACATGACCAAAATAGTTAGACTAATTATATGATAATCTTTCACAATAGATGCTTTTTTCCGATAGACCTTCCCTGTAGAAGAAGCTTGAACGTCAGAAATGACGTACGGGTGAATCAAATTCGAGTATCTCAGTCTTTCCATTTACTTCACCAAATTCCTCCTCAGAGACGCGAACTAAACTCCAATCACATGTCAATTCAACTTCATGAACAAAACAGCTTAAAACAACAAACGAAAGCAATAAATACAAAAAACGGCTAACCGGATCTCCAATAAAGTATATAACAAACGAGATTATCGACCATAAATTCTCCAATTCGTCGAAAACATAAAAGAAACAAATTGCAACAGAATGTTACCAGGAAAACAATACAGAGTAGCTGCAACCGCATTGGAATCCAGAATCTCCCAGATAAGCTAAAGAGATTAGCAGCGACAGTAGAAGATCCACGATGATGACCCATCATTGATCGCAAAAGGAATTCAGAAATTGCCGCTCAGAAAGCTCCGAATCGCTTTTGCTTTTGCCGGTACTAACCTGTTCAGGCGACGAAGGATTGAAAATGGGGGAAAATGACTAAATTAATAATAAGAACATAAAAATTACCTAAAATTTTTTCTTATTTTCATTATTTTAAAAAATACCTAAACATCAAAAGTTTATAATTTTCATTAAAATTAAAGAAAAATGTATTTTTAATATTTAAAAAACTTTTAAAATATTATTAAAAATTAAAAACATATACTCTTAAAAGTTTATAATTTTTATTATAAATTAATGATAAATATTTTTTAATATTTTAAAAAAATTTAAAATATTATTGAAATTGAAAATGATATATTTTAATTTTTGAAAGTTTATAAATTGTATTATAAATTATTTTTTAAAATATTTTAATTTTTTTTTTAAATATTGAAATTTAAAAGTATATATATTAATTTTAATACTAATGTTTAAAGTTTATAATTTTTATTATAAAATAATGATAAATGTAGTTTTTTAATATTTTAAAATGTTATTGAAATTGAAAATTATATATTTTAATTTTTGGAAGTTTATAATTTGTATTATAAATTATTTTTTAATATTGAAATTTAGGAGTATATATATTAATTTTAATACCAATGTTAAATAATCTTTAATATAAATTAATGATAAATGTATTTTTTTAATATTTTAAAATTTTTAAAATATTATTGAAATTGAAAATTATATATTTTCATTTTTTAAAGTTTATAATTTGTATTATAAATTTTTTTTAATTTTTTTTTTATATTGAAATTTAAAAATATATATATTAATTTTACCAATGGTTAAAAAGATAAATGTATTTTTTTAATATTTTTAAAAAAATTAAAAATATGTAATTTCCTATTAAAGGTTATTTTATTTTTAAAAAAAAAACCCCCAAAAATACAAATAGGTTTTTGTTTTTTCCAACGAGCATCCATTTCTCAGAACTCTCGAAAGTTCATTTCTTCACTTCCAATGGCGGCCAGAAACTCTCTGCTGAAGCATCTTAGGGTTCATGTTCAGGCCCTGCCTAAAACCAACAGCCCCATTTTCTACGTCAACCCTTTCAATGCGATTCGACGCCGTCTCTTTTCCGAGGAGGTTAGGGGTTCTTTTCTCGACAAATCGGAAGTCACCGACCGCGTCATTTCCGTTGTCAAGAAGTTTCAGAAAGTCGATCCCTCTAAGGTACGAGAAATTTTCTATTCCTTTTAGGATTTCTCTAATTTATTGTGTCTGATTGCAAATTCAATAATTTATTGAGTTTCTGCGAGCTTGGGTTTGTGTTTGCAGTGGTTCCAATTAGGTTATTAGCTATGAAATTTAGGGTTGATTTGGCTGGAAAGACGAAGGACAAGATGTAAAAATCTAGTGGTTACATTTTGTGTTTTCATTGTATTTGCAAATTTGATCGGTAGCGAATTAGAAATGTATCGTATATCTATGTTTTATTAATGTACTAAAAAAAAGTTTAGAATAGGATACATAATTCAATAGAAGTCTTCTTGAATCCTTCAGAAAACATCTTCTACTTCCAGGTACTAAGAAAAAAAAAAAATCATTCCACAATTGCATTCTTGGGGACCAAACAGTATAGCAATTGTTTGGATCATACTTTCAGTATATACAATTTGTGTCCTCTATTATATAATTTTATAGTTATTGGCCTCTCTTTTATAGATCAGAACAGATTTTTCCTCCTATTGAATTTGCCCCCTGTACTTTTCTTTAGACTGAAATGTACCCTCACTATGTTTTTTCCCCTTAATTTGTTCCATCTTTTGCTCAAACTCATGCTTTTGGCATCTCTTAAGATTACTAATGTTCTTATGTTATTATAAAACTCATCACTCTAATTTGCTTTTTCAAAATTGATTTTTTTTTTTTTTTTTTTTTTTTGGTTCTTTTCAGATTTTCTTTTAATTTGTAACTTTAAATTACATTTTGATGCAATAAATAGTCTAAAGCTTAGATATTCTATGGATAAGTGTTCTTTTTCCTATGTAATTTTAAATATTGGTTTATGTATTTAAGTGTGTCATTGTCACCTTGGAGAGTGCTTTGCATGTTTCTTTTGAGATAAGCCCTTGCCTTTGCGGGGGGACTGCAAATCATACTAAGCTGTTGTCACATTAGAGCTAGACCTTGCCTTTGCCTAATTCCAATTCTTTGAAGGATGCTTTTGTTCCTAATATCTAACTGTAATATGTTGTTCTTGTTTCGGGAAGGCTCAGACTGAGACTCTTTTACAAGCATTTTTTTACATAACTAGTTAGTGACCTCACTACCTATTAAGACAAGATCTCTCCTGTTGAATTTTCCCTTTAATCTTCATGGTCCTTGACTCCTTGGTGAACCAAGACCCCCCAGTGAATGAATGGAAGTTTTATGGTGTCTTGACTCGTGCGATCGATCCATTTTTTTGCCATCTTTCTTTCACTGATTGATAATTGGTATTATAAATTTTCCGGCAGGTTACTCCAACGGCCCATTTTCAAAATGATCTAGGCTTGGATAGCTTGGATACTGTGGAGGTTGTGATGGCTCTTGAAGAAGAGTTCCGGTTTGAAATTCCCGACAACGAAGCAGACAAAATCAATGCTATCAACCTTGCAGTTGATTTTATTGCCTCTCACCCTCAAGCAAAATAGACGAAAGCCATAGATGCTTTCACTCAGGTTCCTCCTATTTCGATGATAAAATTAGATACTGTTAGATGTCTCTTATTTGTCGCTCTGTATTTTGTTGGTGGTTTTCCAATTGTTATCCCAATTCTTATTAAAAGAGAATGATACCTGGTTGAGCCAGCTTCAAGCTGCATGAGTTGAGGCAGACTGTTATTGGCTATACCAAAGCTGCATGAGTTGATGCAGACTGTTATTGGCTTTAATGAATCAACTGAGTTTATGTTTCAATAATGATTTTATGAGTTTTTCCACGAACTTGTGAACTAGTTCAACTTGTATTATATAAGTTAAAGACTCACATTTTATCCGAATCTTATAAAATCATATAATTAATTTGGGCATAACCCAGCGACTGTTAAGTCGTGCCTTCGATCTAGAGGTCATATGTCCAAATCCTCTACTTGTAGATAGCTAAGGCGTTTTTGGGTTCGATGAGTACTTATTTATTATTCGGGTAGATTGGTTGTTTTTGTTATATGTGGTTTAGGCATTCTACTTAATCTTGTGTTTTGGTTTGTGTATCAGTGTGATTGCTTTTTTTTTTTTTTTTTTTTTTTTTTTTTTTTTTTTTTTTTTTTTTTTTTTTTTTTTTTTTTTTTTGTCTTGTTTTCATTTGTTCCCTTTCGTTTATCAGTTCTTATTTTTGTAAATATCCTATTGTATGTTCGTTTATTTTTCTATTAAAAGAAAACATTTTTTAAAGGAAAACTAGAGTTTCATTGATTAAATGAAATTACAAAACGAGTCCAATCCAAAAGGATCAACACAAACATTTTCAATAGGCTAGCCTATAAGAGAGATTAAAGGGTGATAACAATTTATACCCTAATTGACTGAGTGTGAGTGTTGGGTTCGGTTAGGTTGAGTTTTCAATTTGACCAGATATGATCTATCTCGAATATTGATGGCGTAAATGGCAACAAAGAAGTGGTTAGGCCAAAATCGAATATTGATGTCTTTGCTAATTTTACACCATGGTATTTATATAGATAAGTCTTTTTCTAATCAATATAAGTTAAATTACACGTTACAAAATCAAAATTGAACAAACTTAAAAGTTTATGAAACAAGATAAAGTTTAAACCTTATGATTATTATCGAACCATGGACAGTTAAGAAAAATGCAAGTTTAGTCCTCTAAATCCCCTGCGAGGCCATTCTAAACCCTATCAAAATTAGTAATTCTCTTTATAAAAAAAAATGCATAATAAAAAAGTGCCTTCTCACAAGCTATCTCTAACATACGCTGAAATCCAACTAAAACCTAATAAAAAGATCATAAAAAATCCAACCCAAAACCAAACATAAAGACTTTTGAACATTACTACAAAACCAACCAACATCAACTGTTTATAGAAAAATAATGTTCGGATTATGTAGGAACTGTCATTGTCTATATTCAAGTGTTCCTGTCCCAAACATCTATATACAGAATGATTTCCAACTATCTTAGCAAGAAGAAGAATGCTGTTGAATTGCTTCTTCCTTAAAACATAACAGTACACAAACCCATTAATCTAATCGAGTAGATATACTCTTCCTTGCATTATATTCTTTGAATTTCTAAAGAAGAGAAGAGAAGAGAAGAGAAGAGAAGAGAGCTTTCAGCTGGATCTTACAGCATCAATGGCGAGAACCAAATCATCAAATTTTGCCCCAGTTACTACTTTAACGACCTTTTTGTCCTTTAGAATTTTGAAAGTCGGCACGACTTTTATCCCGAGTTCCTTTGCCAATGGCTGACAAGTAAAATCACCATGAGAGACAGAACCTCAAGTGTTCTGGAAAGAAAGTACGGATCATGAAACAAACCTTATTGTCTTGGTTGCAGTCGAGCTTTAGAAAGACAACGTCGAGATATTTCTCAGACAATTCTTGAAATTTTGGGGCCATCACTTTGCAGGGTCCACACCTTTAGTGTAATATGTAAAGACGAGAAAAGAAAGGCAATTAAGATAATAAGCTTGGAAGTCCATAAACACAGACAATAATTAATGAATATACACTTTTCACAAATGATCAATGTCGCAAGGAGTCTGAAATAGCAGATCAAAACAAGGCCAAAGAACAGATTCTGCCCTAAAATTAGCAAAAAGTTTATGCATTGTGTAATTAAAGCTAAAGGAAAGATCAGAAAGATCCAAAAGGTCATAACATATAGATGTGATTTGAATTAAGTTTACTCTGCATCCAAATCGTGGTATGAAGTTGGTTAAATCTATATTATTCAAACAAGTTAGAGATCCTTTAACACAGAGCTCAATGATGCTTCTTCATACAAGCTGTTCAAACAATTTCAGACGACACAGTCCAAAAATCACTCAATGATCTAATATAAAATAAAAATTATTCAATGTGGCAACCACATTGTTCCAGCCTCTTCAAACAATTTCTCCTAATACTGTCAGAAATTTCAGCTATTGAACTTAAGTTAGTCCAGTGCAAGATGTGAATTCAAAATAATATACATCAAAACTCATATACATTTCAGAATCATTTGACAATCAGGCGACTAACTAGCACCGAAGTTTCTTTCCAATTTCATAAACAACGAGATCTATACTCTACTCTACGTATCGCCTAGCTCGACTAGTCCGTAAAAAGAAAGTAGCAAACCAGAAATGACCTACAATTAAATAACATTCATGTCCAGAGCCATATTCCTGAACAATCTCATGCAGTAACCTACAGAAATCACAAAATTAAGAAGCAGAGACATATGGATGCACGGGAACACAAACCATTGGGTGTACATATCGAGCACAACAGTTTTATCACCAGCGGCATTGACGATGGGCCAAAACGTGTCTTTGTTGACCTCGGTGACCGTGCCGACAGTGGCGCCAGCAGTCTCCAAGCTGGAATTGATCTTGAAGGACCGATTTCCACTGGAAACACCAATGCTCCTGCTACTAGTGACACTCAACCTCTTTGAACTAAAACAGCCGCTCTTCGCATCGGAAAGTGCGGCAATCGGCTGCCTTCCGCTGCAGGGCAACGACGGTGAGGATCTAATCGACGGCGGAGAGAGAGAAATACGCAAAGCCATGGAAGAGAGAGAGAGAGATTGCGAAAATGGTTCAGGAATGGCGGAGGACAAACTGAACTGCAGCTGCAGGACAAGACGTCAAGAGGAACGAGTCAACAGAATTACGAATTTACCCTTAAGGTTTGGGAGAGCTGCCGCAAGTGCTAGGGGTGTTTTGGTCATTTAGAATTGTGGATTGTGGTGGAGATTGGGTGGACGTGAAAAGACTCAAATACACTTTTTTGGTCGAAGACTGAGTGAAAGTTTCAGGGGTAGGATTGTAAAGTGTACATGAATGAATCATCATTCTTTTGGATGTGTGAAAGTACATTAATGCCCTTGAGATACCTGGCTTCGTAGGCTTATTTGAGGACAGGATAAAAAAAAGAATATTCCTCTTAAATTTTGAATATATGTATTTATTTTACTCTTAATTTGAATAATTTATATTTATTTTGAACATATTCGGGTTCAAAAAGTTAACCCAACACAACTCGAAATGTCAACCCAACCAACTCCCATAATTCAAATTGGGCCGTTGTCAAGTTGGAAGTACCCTAATATCTATATAGTTGACGTCCAACAAGTGAATGGTCGACACTGGTATCATATTCATGGTAATGAATGAATCTCATCATCAAAACTAGTATCAATGTTAGTTTCAAACATAGTTCATGTGAATAAGTATTTACTCGACCAACAAAATTAGTAATTCATAAGCTTCGACTATTTGTCTACGTCGTGTCATTTAGTTGTTGAAGTCACCAACAAAAAAAATTAATAAAAATCAAAACTCAAAGTTTAATAAATGAATTTCAATATTATTAGAATTAAAAAAAAATTACAACCAAAAGAGTTTTTTTTTTTTTTTTTTTTCTTTGGGAGAGCAAAAATAAATTAAAAAAATTATAATTAAAATATGGTAAAAAAAAAAATGAAAAGAATCTATTGAATTAAAAGGAGGGTGAAGGGTAATAGCCATGGAAGTAGGCTGCCAATCAGTGCAATGGGTGCAGCAGAAGCCAGTCGGTGGGCTCCCACTGTGTGCACTTTTCCGGACTTCTCATCTTTCAATTTTATGCCTTTAGAACCTGCGAGTTACCAATGATATATAATATGAGGATTGAGTTAACTCGATAAGCCGACGTGAGTGATAGCTCAACTGTTAAAACATATTCTCTTTTCCTAGAGTTCAAAGGTTCAAGTTCTCTCACCCCGAGTATGTTGTTACATAAAAAGAAAAAGAAACTAGCACTAAAATGCGAATGAAAAACCGAGCAAAAGGGAAAGTAGTTTTTCAAAACTGTCCTAAAACATGAGCAAAAAGCATACGTGTACGTGTTGACTACTAATCACGTTCTCTTTTTCTAAAGTTTGAAAGTTATCATTCTCTCACACGGACAAAAAACTAGCCCTAAAACACGAGCAAAAAAACCCATAATATTGTTTTCCATGGAAATATCATGATATTAAGAAAGGAAAGTAGCTTTTCGGAACTGTCCTAAAACACGAGCAAAGACCAACTCATGGTGCCCTGACAGAAAATGTACCAAAAACTGGCCGAGAGCGAAACTACTTTTGGGTGTTGACCACTCATCATACGTGTCAAGATCATCAAATTTGAGCATTCTTTACATAACGTTGAAAATATTGACCGTAACTCATGCTTTAAATGACTCTATTAGGGTTTAAGTTAGATTGGTTCGTATAAGAAAACGATTGAACTAAAGCAATAAAGGAGATTGAAAGAAGCTCACAGTTGAAGTCAGTCCAACCAATGGTCTGATTCTCAAGATTATAGTAAACCAGCCTGTTCTGAAGAACCAAGTCTGCAAGTCAAAAGCCATGAAAATGAATGAGTTCAATCTAAAAAGTTCTAAAAAGCTTCGATTTTAAAACATGAATATAAGTAAATGATACCACCTCCAAAGAGAAAGATTTCCTTTCCATTTTTGGAATTACCCGCGCTACTCTGCCACCCAACGCACCATATATCATCCTGCATACCATGGAAACATAGAAGGTTCGTATCTGATAACGTTTTTGTTTTTAGTTTTCGGTTTCAATCGGTAAGCATTTACTAAACGAAGAAAAAAAATTAACTATCAAGGATTAAAACGATCATTTATGTAATGTTCATGGATAAAAATAAAAATTTAGGACAAATAAAAAGGTTCATACGTTAAAAAGTTCATAGATTAATGTAAGATTTAAACGGTTCTTGAAT